TCTCACAAATCACATGGTTTATTGCCATACAAATATTTTTTTTCTTTTTTCTTCTTCTCATAATGCTTAAAGAGGAACAGAGTAACGAGAACAAATCTCACAGGGAATACACACGAGAGACATGATTGTGCACCATTATTTTATACATGGTGTACTTTATATGCTGTATTATATAGTGTTTGCTGTACATTATTGTGTACTATTAATGTGGTACATTAACCACAAAGTGAGTGAGTTCCAGTTTTGTCCAATTATTAAAGTCTAGTTGCTCAATTAGAATGGAAGCAAGCTTCTGTGGAATGTCAAGTCTAATTAAAGTTTGAGGTGTATTGTAATTTTATTCAAGAGGTTCTTGGAAAAGAAGGTTTGCTCAGCACAGCAAAAATCCATGATGATACACAGATCCATCAGCACTAGATGATGGTTCTGTGTTGCCTGGTGAAGCTCAGGAGATCAGCGCCAAGGCGAACAGGGTGTGATCCTGCAATAGCCTCAGCTCTTGGGGCTTAAAGAAGCGACGGACAGAGTGCAGCCCTGCCACGGCCCAAGCTCTCAAAGTGTCTGTCAAACTCTTAGGTTCCTATGTATTTTGAGGTCCAGTAGTTGAGGTCAGTAACTCACACATGGGCTCTGAAAAGTTATGATGTCACATTCCAAGGGAAGGGGGTACGCTTCAAGTTCTTATCACAGCAAAACATATGTCACTCATGTAGCAAACTGTGTATTTGGCATCATGTCAAAGCTACATGACAGTAATTTTCTAGACTCGCTGTATCTTCCCATCCTATGCACCGCACCGTATTTCCCAGGACTCCCAGCCACACAGCCTCTGCTCTCAACAGAACACACACTATGCACCATCTTTTCCACACCATCATGCTTACAGTCTTCTGTCTCCCCTTTTATCCAGGGTACCATATTCCACTCAAGCTGTAAGGTCCACATGAAGCCTTCTCTGATTAATTCAGCGGACTCGTCTCTCCTTCCTATATGTTTCTATAGCATCAGTAGTTCTTTATCAAATAATATGGCTCATAAGACTGAATTATGCAAACTGGTAGAAAGCCGTTCCATCTCTGTTAGCCTTGTCTCCTAAATTGTATTCCCATGAAAGTAGAGACCAATTCCTCTATATCTTTTCCATCACTAAGATGTAAAAAGAATTATGCACTTATCCAAATTCTACCACCTGAGAAACGCTTTGAAATTAAAATTATTTGCAATATCATCAGTATTTCTCAATTATTTACTTGTCAATTGTGAACACAATACGGCTTAGAAAAAAGCCTCAAAGGTTGTTAAGAGTCAGTCCACCTGTAACCCCAAAGACAACTGAGCCTAGAAACCAATCACAACACCAGAATCCTAAAATTTATAAAAACAATGGACAATGTTAGGTCTGAAAGGTAATTCTTTCCATTTATATGTAAATGGGTATGGATGTATCATGACAGATAGCTATCAATATTTGCTGTAGAAGCCACTAAAAGTGCTTTAAAATTAATCACCTGAGCTGGCTAAATTGGCACTGACAGTTTTAAAAATGAAGACAAATGTGTACGTATTTTAAATAGGCCAAAGCTGAAATAAGATAGGCAGGCGCACTGCTTTTAGCTGGCACCTAGACTTCAGTCGTGGTCGATATACAGAGAGTTCCCAACTTAACACTGATTCAACTTACTATGTGCTGACTTGCAATGGCGTGAAATCACGTACATTCAGTATACACCTTACTTCAAATTTTGAGTTTCAATCTTCTCCTGGGCCACCAATACACAGTACGATACTCTCGTGATGCTAAGTAGTGACATGAGCAGCATCTCCCAGTCAGCTCCCAATTGTTCTGCAGTGTGCTGTGTTACCCAATGATTTTACCCAGCTGTCGGCTGGTGTGAGTGCTCTGGGCACGTTTAAGGTAGGTTAGGCTAAGCCGTGATGCTTGGCAGGTTAGGTGTATTGGATGCATTTTTGACATGACAATATTTTCACCTTCAGATGGGCTTATCAGGATGTAATCCCATCGCAAGCCCAGGAGTATCTGTATCATGCATGTGCGTTATTTCTCATGTCACTGAAACATGCTATTGTATTTGACTTTACAGAGGTTATACTTGCAAGCATTTCTGATCTTCATGGATTTCAAGCATACAGGTCTCTGTCTTCTGAGCTCTGAGTCAGAAGATCTACTGGCTGTGGCTGGTGAACCATGCTACAAGCCTTCTTCACACCCTACCCCACCACACTCTGTGCCTTCTGACAGACAGCAGCTCCACACCCACTGAAACACTCAAGGAATGCACATTGGTACACATTAATACAAGTAATCATTCATTAATAGTTAATTAGGGATACAGTGATCAATTCATTCAGTCCTTGCCATCATGGATTCTATAGTCTTCTCTGGGGAGCAAGCATCAGTCAATAATCAGAGAAATAAATATACATAGATATAACACTCAAACACCATTTTACATGACCTCTCAGCTCTAATGCAGACTTACTGTTGCCTTGAATCCTTATTTTACGCAATGGATATCCATGAAGAAGATTCTGGAGGTACAGTGGAGTCCTGAAGAAAGAAGAGCTGATCCAACTACAGGACTCAATCTTTAGGAAACCCAGCTACCAGCTTTAATAAGTTCTTCCTTTTTTTCCTTAAAAAAACTCAATCTTCCTAGCTTGGAACACCATCACCTCCATTTATAATTCACTGGCCAGAGCTGGTCAGATGGCGCCGCCTAACCACAGAGGGGAACAGGAAACCTAGCCTTCCAAGTGCCTTGGAGGAAAGAAGAATCGAGTATTAGCCTAGCACTAATGACTACCTCAGCAGGTTTCACAGGATCAACATTGCCTGAAAGAAAGGCTAGTGTCAGCCAGGGAGAAGTCAGATCTCTCAGACACTAAAGGACATAACTGTGTTGACCGCATGATGCCAAGAGGGCTTGCTCATTTTTTAAAGATGGCCGGACCACTGCCTTCAGAAACTCTAGAGCTGTGCTGTTCGATACGGTAGCCAGCAGCCACGTGTAGCTCTTTAAGTTTTAAATTGTTGTTAAAGTTAAATACAACTTAAAAATTAATCCATTGGTTGCACTAGCCACATTTCAAGTACTCCATAGCCACATGGAGCTAGTGGCTACCATAATTCTTCTACACAAATACAGAAGGCTATTTTCATCCATGCGTGAAGTTCTGTTGAACAGAGCTACTCTAGAAGTTCCAGATTTGAGAACAAGACATCACCCATGACATACTCTTGTCAAAAGAATAGAACTTGAATCTGATCAGGACTCTAAGATTCATAAGAAATGCAAAGACTGGACAAACATGTACAACTGTACAACAGACAATCGGCAAAGTCCAGACTGTGGGAAACCCAACAGGACCAATGATCCAATTTCTTAAAAGGAAAATTTTGAGAGAAAAAAAGGGGGAGGAAGTTATAAATACTTAAAAGATGCATCAAACAATGACAATGTGAAGACTTTATTGGAATCGATTCAAACATAAAACTATAAAAGTATGTATAATAAGCAAGACATAATTAGAATTTCAACACTGTCTAATGGATGATATTAAGGATTGATATTGATAAATGTACTTTGGGTATGATCATTGTTTTTGATGGCAGAGTAAAAAGCCTATATCTTTTTAAAATGCATACTGAAATATTTACAGAAGAAATGATACAATGTCTGGGATTTGCCTTATAATAACCCAGGTGGGGGGATGAACAGGTATGTAGATGGGATAGGAATGGCCATTCATTGATGATTGTTGGCTCTGGCTGACAGGTCCATGGGTTTTAATTTCATTATTCTGACTCCTTTTACATATGTTCTTAATTCTCCATGATGGAAAGCTTTTTTAAAAAGAAAGTCTTACCACAGAATCCAGCAACTGTGCTCCTTAGTATTTACTCAAAAGAGTTGAAAAGTTATGTCTACACAAAAATCTGCACACAGATGTCTATAGCAGCTTTATTCATAATTGTCAAAAATTGATGACCTCTGGTGAAGGGATAAATAAACTGTGGTACATCCAGACAATGGAATATTATTCAGTACTAAACAGAACTGGACCGTCAAGCCATGAAAAGACATGGAGGAGTCTGACTGCGTATTATTAAATAAAGAGGCCAGTCTGCAAAGGCTACAGATCATATGATTCCAGCCAAATGACATTCTGGAAAACTACGGAGACAGTAAAAGGATCTGTGGTTGCCATGGGATGGGGGAGGGCAAGATGGGTAGGTGGAGCACAGACGATTTTTTTCAGCCAGTGAAACTATTCTGTATGATACTGTAACGGTAGATACACAAGTCATGACAGATTTGTCCAAATCCACAGAACGTACAGCACCAAGAGCGAATCCTAATGTAAACTATGGACTTCGGGTGACAGTGATATGACAATATAGCTTCAACAACTGTAACAGATGCACTGCTCTGGGGGGGCGTTGTTTTATAATGGGAGAGACTGAGTTTGTGGGGGTAGAGGAATGACGGATGGGAACGCTCTGTACCTTCTGCTCTATTTTGCTGTGAATCTAAAGCTGCTCTAAAAATGGTTGTTTAAAAAGAAACTACAATGAGATTTTACATGCACAAAAATAAGGCAGGGCCATGGTGAAGAGGGCTGTAGAGAAGAGAGATCATCTCTGAATTCTCTCTTTAGGTACTTCATAGAGACATTGCCCTTGGTCGTGGCCTTGGCTTCTCCATTCAGTCATCGGAGAGGATCTGTTTCATGCACAGCTTTGAGTGAAGGCATCTGGAAACCAGAGCACACAAGGTTTGGAAGATGAAGCTTGAGGCTTATACCTGTAATTCCAGCACTTTGGGAAGCTGAGGCAGGAGGACAGCTTGAGCCCAGGAATTCGAGACCAGCCTGGGCAACATAGCGAGACCTCATCCCTATTGAGAGAAAGGGGGGGAAGAAAATGAAAAAATGAAACTTGAAATGTGGACTAACCCAGACCCCAGGATTTCTGAGGCAAACCACCCCCAGTTTGAGGATATAAATGCCTCAAACCTAATAGCACCACTCTGGGAAGTAGAGGAAAAGAAGATGATGCACACCCAAAAAGGAGAGCTGGGGTAAGTCATCTGTGTTTGTACACCTTCTAAAGAGAGAAAGATTTTTCATGCCACCTGGGTGTGGGCCCTGTGGAAACAGATAGGTTGCTCAGAGAAGTGATAATTTCACCATGGTCAGCCTTAACATCCAACGAGATTTGACTCCACAGATCATTTGTGAGGCCTCTGAGAGGGGAAGGAATATGACCCAAGTAGGAACTAATATCTGTTAAGTGGTCATTGTGACTAATGCTCTACAAGGGAGGCTAGATTTTTTTTTTTTTTTTTTTTAGGAAATAATATTGTACGTTTATCCTCTTGCGTTTTGCCTTTCCTTTCTGTAACTGTTGACTCCAGGGAGGAGAAATAGAGGCAGCCTGGAAATCTCCCTATCATCTTCCAGGAGTCTAAGCCACAGATCCTGGGAGATTCAGGAGTAGAGAGGGTCTTCTCCAGAAGCAGAGGCTGTAGCAAGACTCCTCCTATGGGCCCCTGCACAAGAGGAAGCACTCCCTCGCACTGGGGATTGGGAGAGCAGAGAAAGACCGGCAAGCCTCTTCCGGTAATGCCACAGGGTGGGTGGTGAGACCTAGAGAGGAACGGCTGCTCGTTCTTGCAGGCAGAGCTGACTCCAGGAACCTCCGAAGGTTCCCGACCTGAGTGGGACTTGAAATCATTAAACAGCTACACCCAGGGGGCTGTGCAGACATGGCTCGTGGTTCTCAGCAGTAAGCTGATTGCCCCGCCTCACCTGACTTTGACACTACAAGGTATTCTCCAGCTTGGCACATACTGGAGGGGGAGATGAAGGTTAGTATGTCTGTTCATCCAGAGAAAAGGAACTGCAGACTTAAAACTGCTGTAGGAACTGATGGATTACAGAAGTATTGTTTTCAAATGCCTGAGCTGGAGACTGATTCATAACAAACAATAGACAGATTAACTTGTGCACTTTAATCTTCCATCAACCTTATGAAGTCAAAGGCCCTCTATTGTATGTTATTTATAATTTCAATGATTTCATTCTAGCCACAGCGACTAAGCCCCTTCAAGAGTCTAAGCATTCTGCTGGGTGCTGGAGAGAACGTGGAACAAAACAGATGAAGTCTTTGCCCTTACAGAGCTTCCAGCCCAGTGGGGGTGATGAGACACAAATAAATAAATAAGATCAGTACGAACTGGGGCAGGCATTGCTCACATCATAACCTGGATGATGCAATCAAGAATTCCTGATCTATCAGCAAGATGAAGAAGACTAGGAATAGCCTCTCCAAGGAAGAATTTTTTTTCTCTTTTCATCTACTATTTTTGTTGTTGATATTGTTGTAGCTTCCTTTCTTTTTTTATTAATCAATATTTTTTATTTTGGTATTGTGGGGTACAGTTAAGGGTTAGGTATACAAATATGTTTCATTCAGGCACCCTTGTTGATAAGGGGTGTCTCCCCGTCCCCAGACAAATATTTACCACCGTTAATCCCACCTCCCTTCCCCTCCCTCCCCCCCCATAGTTTCCCACCACTGTTAATCCTTTTCTTCTAGTATTACAATAAATGTTCAAGGTCCACTATATGAATGAGAACATGTGATACTCAGATCTTTGTTTCTGTGAGAGGTCACTTAGTATTATAGACTCTAGCTCCATCCAGGTTGCCGCGAAATTCATGATTTTGTTCCTTTTTATGGCTGCGTAGTATTCCATCGTGTATATGTACCACATTTTTAAATTATAGATGTGTAGGGTACAAGTCGGGATTAGTTACATACACAGGCTTCATGCAGGTAAATTTCAGGCCTCCAATTGGCCCTCACTTCCCCTGGTATAGGACCAGGTACTTTTGTGATGCTATGTGCCCCCTGGCAGTGTCCATTGACTGCTGACCCTTCCCTTGTGCTCATGGGACTAATGTTCAGGTTCCACTTAGGAGTGACATATTTAGCGATGTTTCACAGAAACAAGGAAGGGTTTTTGTGAGCTCCGATGTCAAGCATGGGAATCGCCTAACCATGCAAAAGCTCAGGAGACAAAAGAGAAGGAACTGCAAATAGAGGAGAAATAGAGGCAGCCTGGAAATCTCTCTATCATCTTCCAGGAGTCTAAGCCACAGATCCCGGGAGATTCAGGAGTAGAGAGGGTCTTCTCCAGAAGCAGAGGCTGTAGCAAGACTCCTCCTGTGGGCCCCTGCACAAGAGGAAGCACTCCCTCGCACTGGGGATTGGGAGAGCAGAGAAAGACCGGCAAGCCTCTTCCAGTTTGGGAACAGATTTGAGGAATCCAAAGGAAGGCAGTGTGGCCAACCTCTAAAGAACAAGGGGAAGAGTGGGAAGGGGAGACTGGAGGGAGAAGTCAGATCACTCAGAATCTTGCAGAGCAAGATAGGGAGCTAGAATTTTATTCCTAAAACAATGGGAAGCCATGGATTAATTTTAAGTGGGGGATTTGCCTATGGCTGGTACACAGATTAAATAAATTAATATACCTAATGCACTTAGCACCATGGCTGGCAGAGAAAGCACTATTAAAAGCATTTTTATTTTTATCCTTATTCTTAGTATTAAGGATGGGTTGGAGAAGGGCCAGGAATGGAAGCGTACACGAGTCAGAAGGCATTTCCATAGTCCTTATTGAAGCCTGAATAAGGGTAGTGTCTGTAAAACTGGAGAGGAATGTTCATAACAAAATGTAACTCAGAGGCATAATCGTTAGGACGTTCTGACGAACAGGGAAAGAAAGGAATGAAGGACTCCTTCTGGGAGTCTGTCATGTCACCTGTCAGGTGACGACACAATCATTAGTCAAAAGAGGACTGCAGAAGAAACCAATTCAGAAAGAAAGAAATCAAGCATTCCGTTTCATTCTGTTGAATTTGCGATGTCTACGGGATATCTAAATGGAAATGTCAAACATGTAATCACGCCCATTGTATCAAGAAAAAACTGATGAGCCTCTATAGTGAAGAAATGGAGACTTAGCAGGCTAAGTATCCTCTTCACAATCGGTCAGCTGCTGAGAGGTAGGGTCAAGCCAGGAACTTAGGCTAGGAACCCTTCAGAGCCAGAGATCTCATTCCCTTATATTTAAACACCTTAGAAGCCCCGGGTTCCATGTTGTTTTAACTAACGCACAGAATCAATGAGCAGTACCTTCCGTATAATCATCTACAAGTCACCTGCAGGGCATTGGGACGCCAGAAATTCTGGGGAAGTATGTGGGCCAGCAACCCAGGCTGTGAAATGTTATCTGATTCTTGCCTAGGCAAGAAAGAAAAGCCAAGCAAGAATTATGTGCAGGTAAAGAAAGTGACGATAGCTTACTTGGCCTGAGTTTTCTAGCTATAAAATAGGAATGGAAATCTATCTCATACATACAGTGTCGGGTCTGTTATGGAGAATTATTGAGAAAAAAAAAGAAACAAAGAGAAAGAGTTGGAGCATATGCTTTATAAGCCTTCCAAGGACTACATGTTCTTTTACCCTTACCATAAAGTTTAAAGTGGACCAGGGACTGGGGGAGACAGAAATGGCGTGGGGGGTTAATGTTTGATGGGGTACAGAGTTCCAGTTGGGATAATCAGTTTCTGGAGATGGACAGTGGTCGTGGCTGCACAACAATGAGCATACATTTAATGTCACCAAACCGTACACATAAAAATGGTGAAAATGGTAAATTTTATGTTATGTATATTTTACCGCAATAAAAGAAAATTAAACTGGACGTTTGCTTATATCATTGACAGAAGTTAGCTTAACATACTTTTATTGTGTTTACCTCATATGGAACTAGGCAATAAGTCAGACTCACGTGTTATCCCCACACACATCAGACATGATTGAAGGAGGGCTGGTTCTGACTTGGATGGGAAAGGTGCTGGCATCAAGAAATAAGCTATAAATAAAACCATGACAGTTGTTTTTTAACTTGAATTAGGGACTAGATTTCCAATGGCATCTTATTTTATCTAACATGATTGCGTAGCAAGCAAGCATCTGTCTGTGTTTGTTTATAATCCCCTGAGGGCCAAGATGTGCCTTTGCCTGCATTTCCAGTGTACTCTCGGTGCCTCACATGTGAGAAGACTGTCACATCACTGGGAAAGTTGACTAGAGAAATCTAACAGCATAAGGCACTGCTAGAGAGAGAGAGAGAGACAGAACCAGAGAGAGAAAGAACTAGAGTGCCCACCACCCAAAACTTGTATGGAATCACTAGAAAATAATATGCAAAGGTCTATATTCAAATGGAGATCCCACTGAACTACATAAAGCGTTCTAGACTTTCAGAGCCAATCAACCAGTTTTCTGCTTCAGAGAAGTTTCCTTCTTTGTCTATAATCTCCAGTGAATACTAACTAAAAGAAGAACTCTTCCCAGTCTCCACAAAAAACATGACTGTCGATGACCATCAGCCATACAGTAGGAGTCAAAAATTTAAGGTACCTTCCTGAGGGGGGGAAAAAAAGGAAATCTCAGGCCAAATTTTCCCAATCCAATGTAGCTTTAGCTTAAGTTCACAGCAAAGACGTATGCATCCCAAAAATCTGCTACTACTAGCCAATCATGGTCATATTGTGTTAGAAATGTTACATAAGATTACACTTTATTTTTTAGCAAAAAAAAAAAAAAAAAAATTAGAAACCAGTATAAAGTCTTATACTCTCCAAATACCTGGAAACCAAATAACACATTTTAATCCATAAGTCAAAGAGGAAGTCTCAGAGAAAAAAAATTAATACCAATGAAAGAAAAAAAATACATCATACAAAAATTGTTTCTCAAAGAAAATAAAATGACAGATAATTTCAGCTAAACAAAACTGGTTCATTAATAAAGAAAAAAATCATCTGATAACCCACTAGAAAGACTAACAAAGAAAAAGAACACAAATTGCCAACATCAGGAATGAAACAAGAGATATCACAACAGACCCTGCAGACATGAAAAGGATAATAAGAAAATATAGATGCTCCTCAACTCATGAAAGAGTTGCATCCTGATAATGCATTTAATACACCTAATCTACTAGACATCATAGCTTAGTCTAGCCTGGCTTAAACATGCTCAAAGCACTTTCATTAGCCTAAGATTGGGCAATATCCTCTGGCAACACAATACATCGTAGAGTTTCAGATGTATGATACTCTACATGGCTGTTTCAGAACTGCAGTTTACTACTACTGCCCAGCATTGGCAAGAGATTATCATACCGCATACCACTAGTCCAGAAAAGACCAAAACTGAAATTATTGTTTCTACTGAATGTGTATCACTTTCACACTGTCTTGAAGTAAAAAAAAAAAAAGAAAGAAAAATCATACGTCAAGCCATCCTAAGTCAGGGATCTTCTATACCACAAACGACTACACACATAAATTCAACAACTTAGAGAACAAAAACCAATTTCTCAAGAAGCATAAAATACCACAGCCATCCAACATGAAACTGATAACTGGAAAATTTGAATAGCCTTACAACTATGAAGGAAATTGAATTTGAAATTTAAAAACTAAAAAAAAAAAAAAGAGAGAGAGAGAGAGAGATCTCCAAGCCCAGATGATTTTATTGGAGAATTCTTTCACATGTTTAAAGAATTACTATTAATTCTACACAATCTCTTCCAGAAAATAGAAGAAGAGGGTTCACTTCCCAATTCATTTTATGAAGCTAGTATTATCCTGGTACCAAAACCAGACAAAAACAACACAATAGTACAAAAAAGAAGATGAAGAAGAAGGAGGAGGAGAGGAAGAAACAAACCAATATCCCTCATTAATATAAATGCAAAACTTCTTAACAAAATTTAGCAAATAAAATTTTGTAATTTATAAAAAGAACTCTACACTATGACCAAGTGGGCTTTATTCCCACAGGCTGTCAAAATCAACCAATATTTATAAGTCAGTCAATAAAATCCACTATATTAATAGGTTAAAGAAAAAAAATCACATGATCTTATCAATTGATGCAGAAAAATCATTAGGTGAAATCCAACACCCCTTCATAATAAAAACTCAGAAAAAGAGGAATAGAGAGAAACCTCTTCAACTTGATAAAGAGCATCTACAAAAAACTTACCTAATTATACCTAATGCTGAAAGACAACACTTTTCCCATAAGACTGAAAACAGACAATGATGTCTGCTCTAATCATCAGTTCAGTATAGTACTGGACAATCTAGTCA